ATTTGTACTGGTGACCTTGACTGCACTAAGACCTGTCTGTGTTACAGACTACAAGTCTGGAAGATCTGCCCAAATCATTCAATGAGTCAATAATCAAAGATTTTGAAGAAAATGCATACCTAGACTTCTTGAGCATGTGGTCTAATAAATTTAAAAAAATGTTTTGTCTAGGAAGAATACAAAGAATATATCATTATCATTAAAGATAATAATCACGAATACTAAATGTATCTTTCTCTTGAGCCAATTTCTATTTGTAAGACAGTAATTGTTATACACGCAGCACAATGTTTCTATCCATGTTGTTTTATGGTGAGAATGTCAACATTGACTTGCATCATGGGCTCATACAGCTCAGTTTCTCTAGCAGTGTCTCAACTCCTTGGCTATTGGGCAAGGATCTCCCATTTAGCATACCATTAGTTAAATTAATGTTAATTAATGGGGTAAAGCTCATGTGATCCTCAGCACCCTCAGCTTCCCTGTTCACCATTCTGCCACCATCACTAGGAAAGCCATCAAGGGATTGCACAGAATTGAGGGCCACTTTGTTTTATTCTTATATTTCAATTCAATTCAAAATATCACACAATTATTAAGCACCTACTATTTGACAGATAGAGACATCCATACACTGGATAGTGACCCTGCCTCAGAGTCTGGAAGACCTGTGTTTAAGTCTCATCTCCCACAGCAGCTAGGGAGCACAGTGAATTGGGTGCTGGAGTCAGGAAGACCTGAGTTTAAATCTAGCCTCAGAAACTCACTGGCTATGTGACCCATGGCAAGTCACTTAACCTCTGTTTACCTCAGTTTTCTGATTGGTAAATAGGGATAACAGCAGTACCTATCTTCTGACACCTTGCTCCCTTGGAAAGGCTATCTACTCTCTCTACCTCCTTCTGCTCCTTCTGGTGTGTTCTCTTTCCTTATTAGAATTTAAGCTCCTTGAGGGCAGGCACTGTCTTTCTTGTTCCTTGTATATGTATCTCTAATGCTTGACAGAGTGACTAGCTTATAGTGAGTACTTAACAAATGATTGTTGTTGCCTGCCTGCCTACCTCCTAGGGTTCCTCTGAGGATAAAATTAGACAGTATTTGTAAAAAAACAAAACAAAACAAAACAAAACAACAAGGAAACAAAAAAGCTTTTCAATCTCTACAGAACTGTGTTAATGATAGCTATGATTATTATCTCATGTATAATGGCTGTGTGATCCTGAGGAGGTCCCTTAAATTTTCATTACACTTGCAGAGGTGTTAATCCCAAACTCTCAAGTATATCCTTAACCAGATTAAAATGTAGTTAAGAAATGTTTAGCACAATAAATAAAAATACAACATAACACAGATAATCTTGATTTGTATTTTTCTAAATCAATATGGAATCTACAAGTAATGGGGTGATGGGAAGTGCACCATGTCCCTGAAAAAAAGACCATGTCCTTGAAAGCAACCCAGTCCCTGAATTTTCCTACATATTTCAGCAGCCCAGATCACTGGTACCTCTACTCAAGGCAACTGACCCACCCCAGCCCACCCAGATCACCTAATTAGCTTACTGTACTCTTGGCCCCCCACAGACTACTTACCACTCTTTAATGCCATCCAGATCCTTTGCTGTCCCATTTTGTATATAAGCATCAGTCTCACCCCCTTTAAGTTTCAAGTTCGCTAGGAACCAGGGCTGCTTCATTTGACTGGAAGAAGGTTTGAGTGTGTGAATTCATTCCAGGCAGACACCACCCTTTACCCTGACATTTTGGGGTTCCCAGCAACCCCAAACCACATTATCAGGGTACTCAGACCATATCAGAACCCCAAACCATATCACAGAAGTACGTATCATTTCAATTTGACACCAATTCTCTAAGAATATAAGCTGCAGAGAAGGTGTCAACCTGTATTGTTAGAGGGCATTTCCTTGCCTGGGAATTCTTATTATCAATCAACTCACAAGTCTAATCCTTATCTCTTCAGCCTATATGATGATCACTGCTCTGGATACTATGGTACAAAGACAGAAACACATCAAACACCTTAAAGGACTTTATGTTGCATGGGGGATGGTGAGTGACAACAGGTATAAGGGTAAGAAAGTGCAAAATACATAGAAATTAAGTGTAAAATAGTTTGGTGATGACTGGGATGTAGGAAAGACTGGGGGTGTTTGGAAGGGCTTTGTGTAGGAAATTGCCCTTGACCTGAGCTAGGAATTCCAAGAGTTGGTGATGAGGAATTGGGAATTGTTGTGGGAATTGGGAGAAAACCTTACTGCATTGTTTGAACCTAGCTCTGCATGACCAGGAAGTTAGACTACCTCTACCTGTTTCTTAGATATTCTTAACTAAGGGCCTATGTTATGCTGACCAGAAACCCAGCCAGATCAGAAGGTTGATGCAAAGATTTTTCTCACAGTTATACATCTCAAGCAACCCACATATCTTATCTAAAAACTGACCCCACTCTAGTTAATCAGTTATTGTTTTCCTGTTCCTTTGACTGAATACAGACATTTGGGGGAGTGGGACACCTTTTTTTCTGGTTTCAGGGAATTGCACCTGTTTGCTCTCCCCCTCCCAATTCGGAAATCTCCTAAGCTTTCTTCCAGTTAGAAATCAGATTACCTAGTTTTATATCCTGGTAAATAGTTTTCTTTTAATTAATTGGTCTTACTTGATTGTTTTTAATACATAAAAATCTATCTCCCTCTGAAGTCTGGGTCCAGTGTCAAAATTAAGGAAGGCCTGGAACTGATTTGTTATGCAATTGGCCTGCACTGCTTAATAAATTGATATGCTCAGAAGCTCGAACGTTTGTTTTTTCAACTATTTCATCTTTCACCTGCCACATTAGCAAAGTCAGGATTTGAACCCATGTCCTCTGACTCTAAATCCATTTGCTCTTCCTACTGCACTGTAAGGTATTTTCCCCATATTAGGGAGGTATTAATTTGAGCTTAGATTGATTGATGATTGATCAAATTAAGGACCTGAAATTGTAGCTGCTTTGGGCTTGCACATGAAAATTGTCCAGCAATATTTTTGTCATTCTATCTTTAACAGAGTAGATCATTGAGAATATCAGGATGTTGGGGTTCATGGGCACCCCAAAATATTGGAGTGCACCAGAATGATGAAGAATAGATGCATAAGTTGCAGGGTCTGTTCTGAGAAGAATTCACTCAGACTGTCTCCAAAACAAAGACATTTATTGAGGTAAAGCACCCAATGGGCTCTGATCCTTATGGGAGGTTAGAGCAATTAGCCAGTTTAGGTGTCTGGTCTATATTCCATTTAATGGGATGGGGGAAGGGGAAACAGGAGAATGAGAGGAAGAGCAAACATGGCTCTGGAATGCCTGGAATATAAGGTAGTCTGGAAGTATTTTTGTCATATAGATAAGCAAAGGGAACAAGAAAGGGGAGGGGAAGAGCTGTTCTGGAATGTCAGGTAGTTGGGGGCACCTTGTGAAAGCACACAGATAAGTTCATGAAGAGGGCATCAATGCATGGTTGGTTTATGGTTGGTCACATCCTGCATTTTATCTCGTATTTCACATCCTGTATCCTGCCTGCCCCATCTGCCTCGAACACTACCTACCTTATCAAAGAAAGGGAAAGACGATAGGACTTAGATCTTGAAGTGACCTTGAAGAACATCTAGTACAACTTCCACATTTTGCATAGAGGAAGACTGAGGCACAAGGAGAAGCAACTTATATAAAGTCGCATAAGAGACCTTGCAGAAGTGATCTATGAACCCAAATCCTCTAACTCTAAAACAACCACTAATTTTCCTTGTATTATTTCAAATATGCCAGATATTCATAGTTTTTTGATAACTAGACTTATTTCCCCCTAGTTCATACTCTCATCACTTCATCTAGACAATTGTAATAATCTTCTGTTATGATGTTTCCCCTCCCTCTAGTTTCTCCTTTCTCTCAGTCATCTTCCTTTGGGCTGCCAAAGAGATTTTCCTAAAAGGTGGGTCTAACCATGTCAGTATTTTGTCCAATAAACAACAATGATTTCCTATTACCTCTAGGATCAAATACAAACTCCACTGCTTGATAAATTGTTGTTGTTTAGTCATTTCAGTCATGTCTGACTCTTCATTTCCCCATTTAGGCTTTTCTTGGCAAAGATATTGCAGTGATTTGCCATTTCCTTCTCCAGTGTGACATTTCCCTTTCAATGACACTTTTAGACATTTAAAATGCTTTACAACTTGGCTCCAATGTACTGTTCCAGGCTTATTATATATTACTCCTCTACACATTTTCTGCTCTGAATAGCTAATGAGGACTTCTCCCTCTTCCTCACTCACTCTGATCCATCTCCCATCTCTTCCTTTGCAAGGCCTGGAATGCACTTCCTTCATTTCTTCCTCTTAGAAATTTTTTTTCTTTAAACCTCAGCTCCCAAAGGTCTTACATGAGACCTTTCCCAATCTCTCAGCCACTAGCATCCTGTTATGTTGCATTTATTTTGTATATACTTGGCCTAGTTGATAGAGAGCTACCTTTAAAGTCAAAAAGACCTAGCTTCAAGTCTTGCCTTTGACACACACAGACTTTGTAGTCCTGGGCAAGTCACTTAATCTCTCAGTAATCTAGGCAACTTTCTAAGACTTATAAGTTGGAGAAGTGATGTCAACTTATAGTTGTAAGCTTGGTAGTTAACTCAGAGTTTTCCATATCAATGAAATCACAGGTACAATCTTATTCTTATATTTTGAGTATACTTAGATATTTGCGTATTTTCTCTTTTGATGGAATGCAAGCTCTCTGAGGGCAGGGCTGTTTCTTTTTTGGTTTTTATCTCCCCAGTGCTGATAACAATTATTGGCATGTAGTAGGAGCCTAATAAATGCTTATTTATTGATTTCTACTCTGAAACCACTTTCTATTTTTAAAATGCTATTGTTTGGAAGGTGGAGAACATATAGAGTATGAATACAGAAATAATTTTTTAAAAATCATAGACATTTGTGCTGTGCCAGAAGGGGAAAAAAGTTTATTAAGAAATTCAGAAGGAAACTCCTTAGTCTCTAGGAAGACACAAAAGACCATAAATGAAAACCCCAAAGCATCCCAAATAAAGAATCAAACATATCAGTCTGAGAGAGTTGAATATCCTTGGAAGGACATGTGATATTCGTCACTCCATTTCCCAGGTTACCATCCGGGGCTTCACAATTTCCTTTGCATTGATGTTGAAAGTGGTTCTGCCACATCTGGCCCCCATCTCAAACATCTGGTGAAATTAGTTGTAGCTGCTGAAGCAAGTCAATACAGGACAAGCGTTTTGGAGGTGTTGTTAGGCTCTGGGCGAAGATAGTCATCACTCAGCAGCTCTGAGGGATGCAGGGATCAGAGGGGCAGGGCCGGGTGTATGTGGTCAGGTCCAGATTCTCCAGGCTTGGGATGGGCTGGGCAGAATTGAGCAGGAAGCATGTGGGCACACAGGGCTGAGGGATGTGGCAGGGGGGTGGGCAGGTGTCACAGCAGATGGGCTCCAGCAGCCAAGTGGTGTGTGGGCAGGTGCTGGGGAGGCAGACTCCGCATCGGCAGCACTTGTCAGAAGAGCAGATGGTGGTGGCGGGTCCAGTGGGGACGCTGCAGCAGCAATCGTAGCGAGACATGGTGTAGAGAATGTGTTTCCCTGCTTAGTAGGAAAGAGAGATGGGTATTTTTGATGGTTTGAATGTCTGCTCTCTGTGGGGCTTTTATATACCTTCCCAGCAGGGGTTGGTCCAATCCCAAGGCTTCTTTCCTTGTTTCTGTTTGTTTTCCTGGATCTATTATCTCTTGACTGATTTGACATTTAGATGCCAGCAAAGAGTCTTCATTCTTGGTAATTACATTTTATTTGAGTTCATTGCTAAATCTTAACTGACTACTCTTGCTATTTGTCACTGGAGTAAAGCTTTACAAGGTACATCAAAGAGTTAGTCATTACAGTAATTTTCACAACAGTCTTGGTGAAAAACATTGCAAATGACACATGCCTAGGGCATCTCAGACCTTCCCTAGGGTGCTATTTGCATCTTTGTTCCCCTTTAGCTTTGACTGTTGAGTGATGGGGAATGAACTATCCTGTTTTCATAGAATTTTCTTTTTTAAAACTATCACTTTGAAATGGACAAACCTCAACAAACTTTTCCTGTTTTCTTAAGAGCAGGGATGGTTCTTGGTGACTTTCTTTTACCTATGAAAAAACAGCTTGACTATGGAAATCTGTTTTATCTAGGTTGAACCTGTCCAATTACTGCACTCCAGTATATATGCCAATAAAGAGTATTGAAAGAAAAATTAGACAATGTTGATGGAGATAATGAGAATATAAGCAGTCTTTTTTTGTTAAGTGTGTGTCTTGGGATGGAAGGGGAGGAAGTCGGGGAGAAATGGGAATTTTAGGTCATGTCTACATATAGTCAAACCGGCCTTCAAATCAATTCACAGAATCTTTGAAACCTTAAAGCTGTGCCCCTGCAGCTTCTTGACAAAGAGGAAATGTCTAAAGATTCAGTGAGCCCAGCCAATAGGACAAACAAGGACAAAATTAAATGAATGGAAATCTATGAAGCAACCTATCTTCTCCCCAAAGACCCATTCTGCATTTAAGAAATAATTACCATAGAGCTTGATGCATAAGAAGAATTGAATAAAAGCTTGGTGAACTGGATTGAATGGAGGAGAATGGGCAATACCTAGATAAATAACTCAAATTCAGAAATAAGTCAGATGTGTGTCCCTGCTTTGAACAGGGACTTCAGGAGACATTTATGATTAATTTATAAAACACCTACTGTGTTCTAGGCACTGTGCTGGTTCCTGGAGATGCAAAGGCTGAAATGAAACTGTTCCTACCCTCAAAGAGCTATGGTCTTGGTAGTCAGGGGATAGCATGGACACGGATAAGTAAATATGAAATGTATTCATGGTAAATATACAAAATAATCTCAGGAGTGGAGAGAGAACAAATAGCTTGAGGGTAGGTGGAAATCAGGTGAAAGATATGGCTTTTAAACTGACTTGTGAACACTGTCTAGGGATTTGTAACTAGGATTCATGATACATACAAAGCTCTGGATTTTCTCACTGCGTTGTATACCAGAACACTTTCCCTTTTCATGTACCTGATTTTCTCTGCAATGCAACAAACATTTTATTTTTTAGCACCTACTGTGTACCAGGGAATGTGCTAGGTGGTCAAATTATTTAGGTTCATTTGTTTTCCCATTCTTGATACTCTTTTGAAGGGAAGCTTTAGCAAGCAGATATGCGAACACCATAATCTCATGGCAGAAATAACATCACTTTCTCTCTAGAATGGCACATTGACTTCAAGACAGCTATGTTATTATAATGCAACTGACCACATTTAAATTGTAGAGGAATCATGCTTATTATGCTTAAGGCCTACATGGCCTTAAGGCACAAAAATAAAATGGCAGATGTATACTCATGGCTTTATATATCCCTATCAGTTTTCATTGAATTCCCTGGGAGTGTTTTATAAATAATAATTAGTTCTCACCATGGTACTGCACTATCTTGAAGTTGAGTATTACTCTCCTTATTTCATAAAAGAGGAGGTTGGGGCCTCAAGAGGTGAAATACCTTGCCTGAGGTGACCCAGTGACTCATGGGTCGAAAGCTAAGAATAAGATTCACATTACCAAATTCCCTCTGTTGTGGTCTGAAGGGCAAGCAAAAAGTCTGCATCACTGATGGGAAGAATGATTATATATTCTTACAAACAAGTAAAAAAAACACCTCCCCACCCTTTCTGCTTTCTCTTTCAAGTCTGTTTATTTGTATGACAGACCAATTCTGGGCAAGAGGGTAAATTTCAGGCCCTGGAGGGGTCATTTGTGTGACAAAGGAATTAGAATTGTAACTATCATCATGGCTTTGTCCAATGATCATTAGTTCTCTCGTTTCATAGTCCTTGAGGATTGAGTTCCAGGAATAGTGAAGGCCTGGAAAGGTATAGACAAGGTCCAGGCATAGGAAGCAAGAATTAGAAGTAGACAACTTTGTTAACAGTGGGGTATATCTTGATTTAAGTACAAACCTCACACTGACTATTATGTTTATTTACTTCCAAGTAGATATACCATTAAGGTCCAGGAAATAAGGACGGCATGCATATAAAGAATATAGCACGGGGTCTGGCGCATAGTAGGTACTTAGTAAATTCTTATTCTCTTCCCTTTCCAAGAGAAATAATTTTCCTGCTCCTTGGATCATTGAAGCGGAGAGGAGTTTAGAGATCAGAAGAGCATCTGATCATAGACTCACACACCTAGATTAACCTCCTCTTATTGCAGATGAGGAAACTGAGGCCCATGGAGCTTAAGTTCTTTGCCCAAAATAGCATAAATAAGAAGTGGCAGAGACAAAATTTGAACGGAGTCCTCTGGCTCCAGATCCATCATTCTTCCCATGGTACCAGCGACGTCTAATCCAACCCTTCTATTTTTCAGGTAAAGAACTGAAGTGTGATTGTTTGCCCAAGATCACCCAGAAAGCAGAGCCAGTATTTGAATCCAAGTCCTTAGAATTCAAATTCAGTGTCCTTGTTATGGTACCAGGCTGTCATTGGTTAGCTTTGAAGGGATGATACCCAACTTGAAGGCATCTAGGTGGTACAGTGGATAGAACACTGGGCTTGGAATCAAGAAGACTCATCTCCCTGAGTTCAAATCTGACTTCAGACACTTACTAGCTATGTGATCCTGGGAAAGTCACTTAAACCTGTTTGCCTCAGTTTCCTCATCTGTAAAATGAGCTGGAGAAGGAAATGGCAAACCACTCCAGTATCTTTGCCAAGAAAATCCAAAAATGGATTCACAAAGAGTTGGATACGACTGAAACGACTCTACAATAAGAACAACCCAACTTGAGGATGGCATAGAAGAAAATTGTTTGTGAGCATCCTCTGGCATGCTTTCTCAGTATCTCTACATCCTTTCTTTTCTGCTTTATGTTAATTCTTTGTAAATTTAGCCCTAGCATCTTCCTGATTATTCTTTTGTTGTGGTTTAAGACTTAGCTGAGTGGAATGTACATATAACACTGTCAGTAGAGGGCCTTCAGGCTGGCACATTTGGTAGCTGAAGCAAGTGTGTGAGATACAGAGAAAATTTCTTGTGGTAAATCGCTATCAGCACAGCAGTCAGAGTTTCATCCTCCATCTGGCCTGCACTCTGGGGCCCACTGGAGTTCTCTAGGTTGAGGAATGAGGTCCTCTCTCCTGAGTTGTGGGTTCAAGGACAGTTGTGTCATTACAGTGGTGTTGGGGCATTTGATATCCCCAAAGCAAGCCCTATTTTGACTTCCTGTGGTTTAATTAGGAAGAATAGAGTTTGGTCAGTAGTTTTCAGTCACGTCTGACTCTTTGCAGCCCCATCTGGGATTTTCTTGGCAGAGATACTGGAATGTTTTGCCATTTCCTTCTCCAGCTCATTTTACAGATGAGGAAACTGAGGCAATCGGGGCTAAGTGACTTACTTAGAGTCACCTAGCTAGTAAGTGTCTGAGGCCATATTTAAACTTAGGTCCTCCAGACTTCAGGGTTAGCACTCTATCCACTGTACCACCTGGCTGCCCCAGTATAGGGTTGACCAAGTTTAAAAGTGAGACACACTGTTTGTTACCTGGCAGTGATGGATTAAAATAGAAAGAACATTTCTGCATGAGTCAAGGTATCTTTAGCCTAGTTAAGTACTGATTTCATAACTGCAGTCCTTGGTTAGCTGTTGTTGTTATTTGTCCTTCATTCTCGAAGAGGACCAATGACATTAAGAAGGTGATGTTTTGACTTGCAAGCGAATTGGATTTAAGTGAGATAGGGCTGTGCAAAGTCACCAGCCTCAATCTAGCTATGGTGCAGTGGAAAGAGGGCTGTATTTGAAGTCAGAAGATATGGGTTAAGATCCCAGCTCTTCCCTTTGCTCTTTGTGTGACTTTGGGCAAATTGCTTCCTCTCCCTCAGTTTTAGTTTCTCATCTATATAATGAGGGGGTTAGACCAAACAGCCTCTGATGACCTTTCCAGCTTTTATATCGATGATATATTAAAGAAGGGAACTTGGTATCCCACTGAAAAAATCTAGTATTTATTCCATTTTTAAGTCCTTAAGTACCTAAGACAAAGTGATCCAACTCATAAAGGATTTGTTAAATTCCCACAACATGTAAGATTTTGTAATCTTATACATGACATAGAATGAAAGAATATTAGACCTGGGATGAATGTTTGGAGATTATTTTATAAATGTTTGAGGAATGAAGAAGAGTGATCAATGCTTAAACAAATAACTCAAATTCAGAAATAAAATCAGAGGGTATACCCTGCTCTAAACAGGGGGTTTAGCAGGCACGCACAGTCATTAATTCTGAAGCACCTACTATGTGCCAGGAAGCTTCTTATTTTACAGATGAAGGCATTGTGACCTAAAGTGGAGAAATGGCTTTTTCAGCCTACTCTCTCTAATTTACTTTGTTCATAGCTTACCTGTACAGTTATTTGCATTTGACTATGAGCTCCTTCAGAGCAGGAACTGTTCTCTGATTTCCTTTGTATCTCCATCATTTAGCACGGTATCTGGCACATAGTATGCACCGAAAAACAAAAAAGGGCTTATTGGTTGATCGACTGAAGTAAGTTAATGGTTCAGCTCAAATTCAGAGCCAAATTTCCTGACACTTTAGTCCAGCATACTTTATATAACCTTTATGATCTTTGAAGTATCTAAAAAACTCTAAAGTCACCTTATTATTTTAGCAATTTGTTATGTTAGCCTATCTCATATAATAATGATAATAATAATAATAATATCAACTAGCATTTGTATAGTACCTATTATGTGCCAGGCACTGTGTTATGAACTTTTTACCAATATTATCTCATTTGATCCTTACAATAATCATGGGAGGTAGGTGCTATTATTATCCCCATTTTACAGTTGAGGAAACTGAGGCGAATAGAAGTTAAATGACTTGTCCAGGGTCATACAACTAGTAAGCATCTGAGGCCAAATATGAACTCTGGTCTTCCTAACTCCAGCCTCAGTGCTCTATTCATTGTACCACCTAGCTGCCATGCTTGGCCTGTGAATATCCTCTTTGATAAATTAATGTCCTTCACTGTCTGGCTCCAAACTGCCCATACTCATTTCAAATTACTCTCCTTCATGTTTCTACGTTCCATTTAAGTCACCTACTTGAATCAATCAATCAATAAGCATTTATTAAGCACCTACTAACTACCAGTCATTGTACTAAGCTGTGAGAATACAAAAAGAGACAAAAACCAGTCCCTGCCCTCAAGGAGCTGACAATCTAATGGGGGATTACTTGCTGTTTCCTTTCCACAACATTCTATCTCTTGTTGTTCATTTGTTTTCAGTCATGTCCAACTTTTTGTGACCCCTTTTGGGATTTTCTTAGCAAAGACATTGGAGTAGTTTGCCATTTCTTTCTTCAGCTCATTTTTACAGATGAGGAACTGAGGTAAACAGAGTTAAGTGACTTGCCCACGGTCACACAGCTAGGAAGTCTCTGAGGCCATATTTGAACTCAGTTCTTCCTGACTCCAGGTTTGGCTCTCTATCCATTATGCCACCTCCATACCTTTTCATAGTCTGTCCTCTATACCTGATTTGTATCGCCCCCCATCACCTGTTAGAATCCCTAGCTTCATTCAATGTGACCATGTGCCACCTCCTTTGGGAAGGTTTTCCTGACCCTGATGGCCATTGGCATTCTGTTCTTCTTCAAATTATTGTGTATAGGCTTATCTGAGTTCTTGTCCTATTTTCTACCTGAGTTTTTATCCTATTCTCCAAATAGAATATAAGCCCCTCAAGGGCAGGGCCTGAACTTTTGGGTGTCCTCATAGCCCCAAAGTCTAGTACAGGATGTTGCACCTAGTAGGTACTTAATGAATGTTAGCTGGCTTTGATCAATTATTGTAACCTATACTGCTCTGGTATTGGGACTCTATCTTGCTTCTAATTCTTCTTTTTCAAAGAAATACACAGAAAATTCTGAAATTAAGTGCTTAAGAAATCAAGTTTATTTGGAAATTCATAAAGAAACCCGAAGCCTTGACAAAAGCATTCAGGACAGGAAAGGCAACCCAAGCAGCAAATTGACAAAGAAAACATGATCTAAAATCTCAGGAATTCCAACAATATTTGGGTACAACCTATCAGTGCAATAGCTTATCATTCACATTTCTCCAAGTTGCCAAAGGAGGCATCTTGTTTTCCTTTTTGTTGATGGTAAAAGTGTTCTTAGCCACATCTGGCATCCCAACATCAGTTGAAACTCGTTGGGGCTACTGAAGCAGATCAATACAGGACAGACAGCTTGTAGATGTTGTCAGGCTCTGGGCAAAGATAGTCATCACTCAGCAGCTCTGGGGGATGCAGGGATCATAGGGGCAGGGCTGGGTGTATGTGGTCAGGTCCAGATTCTCCAGGCTTGGGATGGGCTGGGCAGAATTGAGCAGGAAGCATGTGGGCACACAGGGCTGAGGGATGTGGCAGGGGGGTGGGCAGGTGTCACAGCAGATGGGCTCCAGCAGCCAAGTGGTGTGTGGGCAGGTGCTGGGGAGGCAGACTCCGCATCGGCAGCACTTGTCAGAAGAGCAGATGGTGGTGGCGGGTCCAGTGGGGACACTGCAGCAGCAATCATGGTAGCGAGACATGGTGTAGAGAGTATGTTTCCCTGCTTAGTTGGAAAGAAAGATGTTATTTTTGATGATTTGAATGTCTTCTCTCTTATATACTCTCCCCCAGTGGGTGTTGACCTAGGGGACTTCCTGTCCCCAATTTTCCGTCTATGTCATCTTCTTTCTATGAGATCCTCTAATCAGTTTGGTATTTAGTTATCCATGAAGATTTCTGAGCCTTATTAAGTTACTCATATTTGCTTTGCGATACTCAGATTCATTGTCCAGGAAGTTTGCCTATGGAGCTCGTCTTCAAAGTGACCCATCATCACAGCCCTCATCACCAATGATTGGTCATTGGTTGAGGTGACAATTCAGCAAAGTCTATGAGACTAAATAATTTTTTTTGTCTTTTCCTCTTGGTTCTATACATGATCTGTGGCTGGTGAGACCATAACCATTAATAAAATAAGGATCCCAGATGATTCATTCTCCTCACGTGTTGCTTTTGCCTATTGAGGGATGTAGCTACAACAGCAACAATAATAGCTAGTACTTATGTAGTGCTTTAAAATTTGCAAAGTGCTTGACATGTGTTTTCTCATCTGAATGCATCAAAGATATGAAGAAATTTCTAGAGCCTTGCTGCTTGAAAAGTATATCCTTCCCTACTCTAGTAGACATACCTGGCAACATGATGTAAATTTCCTGTAGACCAGGTTAAAGTTGACTGCCCCGGTTGTGCTTTGAGAAGCACTATCTGACCATTCAAGCTCTACAAAAGGGAAATGGGTTGCTGAGTCTCAGAACTTAAGGCTCTGACTTCGAACAACCCTCATCTCAGTTAGCTGAGCTTTTGAATGATTTTGCTTGGACCCAGTCTTCCATGTGATTTCCCATCCACCACTTCCAAACCATCTCATCTATACTCTATCCATTATCCCCTTCTGCCCACCACCAGAACATTGAACTCTCATCCTGAAACAATCCTGAACTCTGTTAGATGAGCATTCAGCTTATCTTTCCTGGAATTATAATATTTCTCATTTCCTGGCCACCATTTCCAAATGTCCCTTTTCAGCTCCTCCTTTATGTATTTTCTCTCTCCTACTAGAATGTCATGGGCTGCTAGGTGGTACAATGTATAGAGTGCTGGGACTGGAGTTAGAAAGGCTCATTTTCCTGAGTTCAAATCTGGCCTCAGACACTTAGTAACTGCGTGACCCTGGGCAAGTCACTTAACCCTGTTTGCCTCAGTTTCCTCATTTGTAATATGAGCTGGAGAAGGAAATGACAAACCACTCCAGTATCTATGACCACAAAAGGGGTCATGAAGAGTAGACATGACTGAAAAATGACTGAACAATAGCAAAAAACTAGAATGTAAGCTGCTTGAGGGCAGGGATTATCTTGCTTTTTGTATTTGTATCCCTTAGCACAGTATCTGACATACAGTAAGTGGTAATAAACGCTGCTGTCCATCTCTGCCCCTCTCTGTCTCTGTCCCTTTGTCTCTATCTTTTTCCTTTTCTTCTCCTCATTGAATGATTACTTATTGGGTATGTTGTCAAAGGAAGTGTTTGTTCCCCTCTGGCATGGGCTGGACTAGATGGCCACTGGGGAGCCTTCTGACAGACACTTTGTGATTCTGAGGCCATATGTCAATTCATAGCAAAGTTTAAGAGCGTCCCCAAAATGCCTAGTCCTGTGGGGACTGACAGGGTCCTTACTCTTAGTAAGTAAAGAGATGAGACATAAGCACACTAAAAAGAGGAGTCTGGATTTAGAGCTAGAAGAAGCCTGAGAGGTCACCTAGTGCAAGCCTTTCATTTCAGAGACATAGAAGTGAAGTGACTTGCCTAAAGTCACACAAAGAGTAAATTATGGAGCCAAGGTGTGAAGTCAACTCTCCTGTCTCTAAATACAATGCACTTAAGTTGTTTTTTTTTTAACATTTTGATTTAAAGTTTTGAGTTCCAAATTCTGTCCCTTCCTCCCTCCTTCCCTCCCTGAGATGGTAAGCAATCAGATTCAGATTATACATGTACAATCATGTAAAACATTTCCATATTAGTCATTTTGTACAAGAAGATTCCAATAAAAGAAAAAAAGGGAAAAATAGCACACTTGAGTCTGTATTCAATCAATAGCAGTTTTTTCTCTGGAGGTGGATGGTATGCTTCAGCATCAGGTCTTTGGGATTCTCTTGGATCCCATTTGGTGCATATATGTTTAATATTGATTTGACTTCATTATCTATGGTACCTTTCAGCAAGATACAGTTTCCTTCTTTATCTCTTTTTAGTTAGATCTGTTTTTGCTTTTGCTTTGTCTGAGATCATGATTGCTACCTCTGCTTTCTTTGCTTCAGCTGAAGCACAATCGATTCTCTCCAGCCCCTTACCTTTACCCTGTGTGTATCTCTCTGCTAATACAATGCACTTTTTTTTTTGAGGCAATCAGGGTTAAGTGACTTGCCCAGGGTCACACAGCTAGGAAGTGTCAAGTGTCTGAGGCCGGATTTGAACTCAGGTCCTCCTGACTCCAGGGCCAGTGCTCTGTCCACTGCGTCACCTAGCATTCCCTACGATGCACTTTTGACAACACTTCTCATGCTTTTAGCATAGTGATGATCCTTTTTAAAATATACAGTTTACATAAAAGGAAAGAGGTCTTCATTTACTGGGGTATATTGTAGGGGAAGGGGTGCTGGACTTTACTGAATGACTATATGGTGTTTTATCAATATTTTAATCTTCCCCACAGTAACTATTGTTCCTTTGAGCTGAGTTTTAGATTGTATACCTCAGATGCAGATTTGAATCTTGGTTCAGTCACTCACCAGATGTGTGACCTTGAGAAAGTTGTTTTTATTCCTCAGGCCTCAGTTTCTTCATCTGTAAAATGAGAGAGTTGGACTTGATGATTTTTGAAGTCCCTTCCAGCTCTGATGTTCTGTAGTTCTGTGATTTTTAGGACAATTCACTTAAAAAAAAGCATCTGGAAACACTGGATCAAGGTATAAATGACAAGAATCCTGTTTACTATGACTCCAAACTATGGATTCCAGATGGAACATAGAAAAGATGTGAGTCAGTGAGAAGCATTGTAAACTATGGCATATTCCTCTTTGTGCCTTTACTGTCCAGTGCCCAAATGGTCAGTTGATACTTTCAGGCGTATATCTCCCCTATGACTATAGATTATAAATTCCTTGAGGCTAAATTAATTTCTAAATGCCCACAGTGCTACTGTACACATAGAAATACCTCAATAAAAATTAGTTGAATGATTTTTTTTTGTTAAAAATCTACCATTTATATAGTGCTTTAAGGTTTGCGAAGTGTTTTTCAAATATTGCCTTATTTGATCTCACAATGACCTTAGGAAATAGATGCTATTATTAACCCCATTTTACAGATGAGGAAACTGAGGCAGACAGAAGTTAAGTCGCTTGCCAAAGGTCACTCAGCTACAAGTATCTGAGGCCAGATTTGAACTCAGGTCTTTCTGATTCAAGGGTAACATTCTATCTACTATAACATATAGATGCCTCCTAGGTATTCCAAGGGTACCAACTGCTTGGTAGTAGTTTTATGAGAACTCAGGGGAAATAAAATAATCTAACCTGATCACATGCAAATAGAAAAGGTGACTGAATCAGTTGTGAAGAGATTACTGTCCTTAACTTTAAGAATATCACCAACAGTCTCAAGTAATTTTTTATTTTAAAAAAATCATTAGTATAGTTAGGATGTTACAGATTTAAATATTTCTATTTATCATTTCTTGATACAGAGCATTTAAAATCAAAATTGAAAATTAGGGATTAAAATGGAAAATGTATGATTTCCAAAAAATTCCTTCCCTTCTTCTTTCTCTCCTCTATTCCTTCCTCTCTCCCTCTCTCCTTTCTCCCCACTTCCTCCTTTTCTTCCCTCTTTCCTCTCTTCCCTCTCTCCCTTTTTGTTCCTTTGTTCCTTCCTTTCTTCCTTTCTTCTCTCTCTCTCTCCTTCCTTTCTTCTTTTTTCTTCCTTCTTTCCCTCCTTCCTTTATTTCTTTCCTCTTTTCCTTCCTTTCTTAATTCCTTCCTTCCCTTCTCCTCTCTTTTAAAATATTTAATTATGCTTTTCTTCCTTACACTGTTATCACTTCCCTTTGAATGGAAAAGTTGAGATGTCTACCTAGCAAGTTAAGGATAACCAATTAATAGCTTGTATACTCCATTGGGATCCTCATGATGTCAGAAGACCTGAAGAAAGGCCCCTAGTAGTGGTGAACTTATGGGAGAACATGGACAAGAGATACACAAGATTCATTATTGGAGGAAATACCTACATTAATGAGATTATACATTCATTACAATTTTAGACTAACTTACAAATAACTCTCTTCCTCTACTTCCCTTCCCAATAGAACTGCCACACTTTTAACAAAGTATTGTTAAGCAAAATAAACCAAAACATTGGCTCTTAGACAATGTATGACTCATTCTGCACCTGTAGTTCATCACCTCTTGGCTGAGGAGAGGAAGGCATGCTTCACCTTTAGTCCTCTGGAGTTCTGATGAGACAATGATTTCTTCTGCAAATAATTCAGTTCACAGGAGATCATTCTCCTTGTGTTTCTTCTTTTGTAAAGTTTGATTGATATGATCAAAATAATCTCTCCTCTGAGTGATAGGAAGTTCTCCAGATTTTTAATGATGGAAGTAACTTAGTTGTTAGAGTTGGTAGGAAAAATGAACATTAAAAGCTGAGACTGAAAAGTTATACATAGTGATGTTGGACTTACAATTTTAAATAATTTAAAATTTTGAAACAACATATTTTGAAGGTAATTTTCTTCAGATTTCCAATTCTGAAAGGTGTTAAAGAGTTGCTTTAAGCTGCAAGATTTCTACTGATGTCATCAGAAAGTGTAATTCTGCTGAGTATATTTATGGAAGTATGATGCCCAGGTTAATAGGCTTTGGATAATTACAGCTTGGAATGATGAGGCAACACATAGTTTGGGAGGCATGGGTGTTTATTTGCTTTTTAAATATGGGAGGGCTTAGTGATATTTTCTGTTTTTTAATTTTATTTTTTCAATAAAGCATTTATCTTTTCTTCTTCCCACCTCACCCCTACCCCCCAAAAGAAAAAAAATCGGTGTAACAACAATATTCTTAGTGATACTTTCCATTTTTCTTTTCAGGTATTTTAAAGCATGTTCAGAAAACTTTTCATAGACTTTAATGTCCAAGTACTGAGTGGTTTCTTTGAGGAGATTCAATGATTGCTAAATTGCTCTTAGCACATGCCAAGGGTCCCCAGAGTCATGTTGGTAAGCTGACAAAGGCCATAGTATCTTTTAAAAAAACCATAGCTACCTAGCAGCAAGATGGTTCACACGCACAGGGCTGAATGCATGTGGTCACTGAAATGCCACACAGGTTGGGGGTGGATTGGCAGGAGTTGAGCAGCCAGCATGTTGGCACATAGGCATCAGGCACACAACAGGGGGGAGGGCAGCAGTCGCAGCAGATGGGCTGAAGAAGGCTGATCTCATGGGGGCAGGTGCTGGGCAGGCAGACTCCGCACTGGCAGCATTTGTCGGAGGAGCAGATGGTGGTGGCTGGATCCGTGGGAATGCCACAGCAGCAACCCTGGAGGCAGGTTCCATTACAAGACATGGTGTCAGGAGTTGGAGCTTCTCTTTGGTGGCAAAGGAAAATGATGGTGAGGGAGTAGGGTCAGCAAGCTTGGACAGGTGCTCCTGAGTCGAAGTGGCCTCCAGGTCTTTTATATACCTTCCACCCCCACTGAGCGTTTCCTCAAAACTTAAGGATTCTTCCCTGTTGTTGTTTGTATCTTTTCCCACGTACATAACTTGTTAGTTTATTTTTTTTCTAGGAGGGTTAAAAGTAGGGGCCTGTTGCTACAAGTAGGACCCAGTACAATATAATAGATGGGGCACAAGGTTTAGGAAGTGGAATCAACCCTGATTTTATACACTGTGAGTGAGCTAAGTGAATTTGAACTTTCCGCTTTACTTCTCTCTCATCTGTAGTATGTGAAGTGCAAACCCATTTTATAGATGGGGAAACTAAGGCCTTGAGAGATTAATGTCTAGCTTAGGGTTACACAGGTTGAGGTTGGACCATATTAGAAGTTTTTAACCTGAGGTCCATGAAATTCCCAGAGGTCTATGGATAGATTGTGAACTTGGATGAGAAAAAAAAATACATCTTTTTGTTATAATTGTTTTTCTTTGTAATACTATGTATCTTATACCTTTAAAATTATTCTGAGAAGAACTCCTAAGGTTTCACAGACTACCAAAGGGGTCATAACACCAAAAAGATTAGGAACCTCTGAGACTATATCATCTCTAAGGTACCTCCTAGCTCTGACGTCACATTAGGAGGGATAATGACCCCCGATGTCAGTTTCCTCACCCAGAAGTAGAGAGGGTTGGACAACATAGTCTCCAAAGACTCTTAGAACTTTAAAATCCTGTAACTGGAATATTTCTATGAAAAAATACTTTTCTGGTTAAAAAAAAATTGTTCAGGTGAGCATATCTGTGATTTCATTGGTATCTAGAAGCCAGGTGTCTGGACTCCTAGCCCAGTGAATGATTGAACAAAAGCATTGAATAGGTGATAACTATGTGGCAAACACTATAGTAAGCCCTAGGAAAACAACGTGAAAAGTGAGACAGTCTCTTCTCTTCAAAAGCTCACATTCTAACTATTAAGTGACAGATGAGTTTTAGGGAGTTACCTAGAAACTTAGAGTCAGGAAAACCTGAATTCAAATCCAGCCTCGAACACTTACTAGTTATGTGACAATGGGCCAGTCACTTAATCCTGTTTGCTTCAGTTTCCTCATCTGTCAAATGAGCTGGAGAAGGAAATGACAAACCATTCCAGTATCTTTGCCAAGAAAACCCCAAATGGGGTCATGAAGGGTCGGACATGACTGAAACTACTGAACAGTAGCAGTCACTGTGGTAACCACGGCAATGGTCCTCTCTCACAAATTGAATTCTAGAGAGGGCATGGTGCAGGATTCCTCACTTTTTGCCCAGGCCTTGTCACTTATTTGTTCTGTGACCTTGGAAATGGCTTGTCTGTCTTGTCTCTAGCTTCCCCCACTGGAGAAGGAGAGGGCTGGAGAATGTCACCTGATCTCTGACAGTTTTTCATAGACAGGACAGGTAAGGCCCTAGGTCATTCTCTAATACCCTGAGTTACAGAGAAGTTGTTAATATGCTTCGGTGGAGGAGTGTTTGTACACTAGGGAGATCCCCCACGCTGACGAGATCATCAGCCCAGACCAAAACAAAAATCGTTTTCGTAATCCACCCTCATAAAACTACTTCAAGTGAAGATGTAGGAGAGTAACAAATACTCTAGAACATCTTGAGAAAATGGAAGTTGGGAAAGAACTTTAGTCCTCATAGTTTCATCATTCTGCAACTAGCTTTGATATGAAAAGAAACATGCGGATGGCATCACCTTATGCCTTAATTAAATAGGAAATATTTAAAAACTTTTTAATGAAGAAACTAAGTCTTGGTGTTTCAGAAATTTCTGGGTTTTTCTTCCCTTTAAAAATCTGTTTTGCTTATTGCATATACTGTCAGGCTCCATTGACAAATGTGCTAGTTTTACCAAATTCCTCTAATTTTTTTTTTTAAAGATTATTTGTTTATAGGGGATGGATCTCTGGGTAGCAAAGTGAGGAGGGATGCTTTTGGGGAAAAAAAGATGATGTAAGAACCAAAGTTATCAATACAATTTGTGAATTAAAAAGAACCTTGTATTTCCATTTAATTTTTTTTAATCATTCCTGTCCTTTAGTTAATCTAGGTAACTCTGCATCAGGATCCTCAGTATTTATAGGGCCAATCAATTGCCCAGAATGGTCAATTCACTGTAATTAACACAAAGGACTAAACAAACAAACAAACCAAATTTCTTTTTTCATAATTGTAGTCAAAACAGAACCCTGATTCATAAATTTACAGATTTCCCTTTCCTCTTCTAATCATTTGTTTGGTCTTTAGTTAGAGTACTTAGACTGAACAATTGAGGATGAGTTTGTCAAGGCTAGGATGAAGACTGCTAGGTAAATACCAAAGGTATAATGTAGAAAGATATTAAGGAATGGTATTAGTGTACAATTTTCCTTTAGTAAGGAAGGAAAATATACTCTTGACATTTCTCCACATCTGTCCCTTCTTTGCTTTTAGAGCTTATATTATGCTACCCTTCCAATAGTACTACACTTCCAGTATCCATGAGGCAGCTGGGAGAGATAGTAGATAGAGTGCCAGATTAGAAATCAGGAAGAACTGACCAGGCTCATATCCTGCCTATGGGAACCTGGGGGAATTACTTTACCTCTCAACTCTCAGTATTTTCATCATGAACTGGGTGCAATAATAGCACCTGTCTTCTGGGGTTGTGGTGAGGATCAAAGGAGATAATATTTGTAAAGCACCTTAAAGTGCTATAAAAATGTTAGCTATTATTATTATCACAATGAATAACTGTGATAGATTCCTAACTGGTCATCCTGCTTCTAGTCTATCCCCTTTCTAACGTATCCTGCACACACTTCTGACAAATTAATTTTCCTAAAGTACAAGTCTGATAACAGTAACTAACTTTCTTACTTAATATACGTCCCATTTGAGCCTCTTTGAAGGAGATACTTTGGGAATTATTATCCCCTCTTTTCAGATCCCCTCAAAGAGGTTTTGATCTGCTCTTAATTACACAGCTGATAGAGGCAGCTAGGTGGCTGTGTGGATAGAGTGCTGGAGTCAGGAAGACTTAAATTTAAATCCAGCTTCAAACACTTACTAGCTGTCTTACTACTCACTACCCTGGGCAAGCTACTTAACTTCTGTTTACTTCAATCCACTGGAGAAGAAAATGGCAAACCATTCCAGTATCTTTGCCAAGAAAACCCCATGGACAGTATTAGCATGCTATGGTCCATTGTGTCGTGAAGAATTGGACACAACTGAGTAATGACAACACAGCTAATAAATGCCAAGGGTGGGCTTTGAACTCATGTTTTTCTGATTTTAAGTTTATTGTGCTATCTACCATGTCATGATGCCTCTCTGATCATGGAATGTAGAATGTCAGAGCTATTTCTTCTGGTGGAGGAGAATTGAGAGCTAAGGGACTGGGGAGTTCCCATCAGTTGTTAGCAAATGGTTAATGCACTGTAGCATATGAATGTAATGGAATAATCTTTTTTTTTCTTTTTTTCTTTTCTTTTTTTTTTAGTTTTAGTTTTCAACATTTACTTCCACAAGATTTTGAGTTCCAAATTTTCACCCCATCTCACCCCTCCCCCCACCCCAAGATGGCATGCATTCTGAATACCTCTTCCCCTAGTCTGCTTTCCCTGCTATCTGTCCCCCCCCTTCTATTTTCCCATAGAGCAGGATAGATTTCTGTACCCCTTTTCCTGTATTTCTTATTTCCCAGTTGCATGTGAAAGCATTTTTTTTAAACATGTGTTTTTTAAACTTTGGATTCCAAATTTTCTCCCTTCCTCCCTCCCCACCCACCCTCATTGAAAAGGAAGCAACTCAATATAGGCTATACATGTGCAGTTATGCAAAACACTTCCATAGTAGACATGCTGTGAAAAACTAACTCTATTTCCGTTAATCCTATCCCGCTCCCCCATTTATTCTATTCTTTCTTTTGACCCTGTCCCTCCTCAGAAGCATTTGCTTGTGATTATCCCCTTTCCCAATCTGCCTTCCTCTCTATCATCCCCCTAATCTCTTGTCCCCTTCCCCTCCTATTTTCCTGTAGGTTAAGACAGATTTCCATACCTAATTGAGTGTGTATGTTATATCCTCCATAAGTCAAGTCCTATGAGAATAAGATTCACTCATTTCCTCTCACCTTCCCCTGGTTCCCCTCCATTGTAACAGCCTTTTCTTTTCTGTCTTTTTTTTTGTGAGACAACTTACCCCATTCTACCTTTCCCTTTCTCTTTCTCCTAGTATAATCCTCTCTCACCCCTTAATTTTATTCTCCAGATATGACCCCTTCATCTTCAACTCACCCTGTGCCCTCTCTCTCTCTCTACCTCCCTCTCTCTATATATGCACATATATATGTATATGCACATATATATGTATAGGCATGTATGCATACATATAATTTTTTTCCCTCCAACTACTCTAATACTGACAAAGGTCTCATGAGTTACAAATATCATCTTTCCATGTAGGAATGTAAACAGTTCAACCTTAATAAGTCTCTTATGATTTCTCTTTCCTGTTTATCTCTTCATGTTCCATTTGAGTCTTGTATTGGAAAGTCAAATTTTTTATTCAGCTCTGGTCTTTTCGTCAAGAATGCTTGAAAGTCCTCTCTTTCACTGAATGACCATTTTTTCCCCTGAGGAATTATACTCAGTTTTGCTGGGTAGGTGATTCTTGGTTGTAATCCTATCTCCTTTGCCCTCCGGAATATTATATTCCATGCCCTGTGGTCCCTCAATGGAGAAGCTGCTAAATCTTGTGTTATCATGATTGTGTTTCCACAGTACTTGAATTGTGTCTTTCTGGCTGCTTGTAACATATTCTCCTTGACCTGGGAACTCTGGAATTTGGCTACAATATTCCTAGGAGTTTTCCTTTGGGGATCTCTTTCAGGAAGAGATCAGTGGATTCTTTCAATTTCTATTTTGCCCTCTGGTTCTAAACTATCAGGGCAGTTTTCCTTGATCATTTCTTGAAAGATGATGTCTAGGCTCTTTTTTTGATCATGGCTTTCAGGTAGTCCAGTAATTTTTAAGTTCTCTCTCCTGGATCTATTTTCCTGGTCAGTTGTTTTCCCAATGAGATATTTCACATTGTTTTCTAGTTTTTCATTCTTTGGGATTTGTTTTACAGTGTCTTGATTTCTCATAAAGTCACTAGCTTCCAATTGCTCTATTCTAATTTTTAAGGAAGTATTTTCTTCAGTAATCTTTTGGACTTCCTTTTCCATTTGTCCAATTTTGCTCTTTAGGGCATTCTTTTCTTCATTGGCTTTTTGGACCTCTTTTGCCATTTGGGTTAGACTATTTTTTAAAGTGTTACTTTCTTCAGTATTTTTTGGGTCTCCTTTAGCAAGCTGTTAACTTGCTTTTCATGATTTTCTGGCATCACTCTCATTTCTCTTCCCAGTTTTTCCTCTACTTCTCTTACTTGCTTCTCAAAATCCCTTTTGAGCTCTTCCAAGGCCTGGGACAGATTCATATTTTTCTTGGAAGTTTTAGATGTAGGAGCTTTGACTTTGTTTTCTTCTTCTGGTTGTATGTTTTGATTTTCTTTGTCACCAAAGTAAGATAACATAGTCTGACTCTTTTTGTTCTGCTTGCTCATGATCCCGGTCAGTTACTTGAGTTTTAAACTCTTTGTTAAGGTAAGAGTCTGTTTCCAATGTGAAGAATGTATTGTCCCAAGCTTTGGGGGTTTGTACAGCTGTTTTCAGAGATACTGCTAGGGACCTGAAAGTTTTCAGTTCTCCCAAGGTGCTATGATAAGGGGTAAGGTGTTTCCTTTCCACAGCCACAACAAGCTCCACTGCACCAGCTCTCCTCCTAGCCCCAGAACCGCCCTTCAGAACTGTGACCCAGATCCAACCACAGGCAAAGCAAGAGATTCCTGCCTCAGCCCTGGCAAAGAGATCCTTGCAATCGCCCTCTTATCAGCCACTCAATTCCCCCTCAGTCTGTGGGCCGGAAGCTCAGAAGCCAGCCGCTGCCCTCAGGGTGGCTGAGATCTAGCTTCTTCTCTCATCACAGTAACAGACTTTTCCCACTGACCTTCTAAGTTGTCTTTGGTGTTCCTGAGTTGAGAAGTCTGGAAACCACCACAGCTGCCCGCGATTCAGTCCGCTGAGGCCTGCTCCAGGGTTGCTGAGGCCTGCGCGCCCATGCCGAACTGCGCTGCTCTCCCAGCCTGGCGCGATATACCTTTCCGATCAGCCACCCAGGTTGTCTTGGGCTGGAAATTTGTTTTACTCTTTTTTTTGTGGGTTCTGCTGCTTTAGAATTTGTTTAGAGCCTTTTTTGTAGGTATTTGGAGGGGTTTGGGGGAGAGCTCTAGCAAGTCACTGCTTTCCCTCCTCCATCTTGGCTCCGCCCTCTAATGGAATACTCTTATGGTGCAAGAGATGGCAAAAGGAGTATTTTCAAAGAAACCTTAGGACCCTTATCTGAACTGATGCCGAACAAAGTAAGGCAGTATCAGGGGAATAATTTATGCAATAACAACATGGAAAAGATAAACAACTTTGAAAGATAAGTTTGATTAATGCAATGACCAACTATGATTCCAGAAGATCAGTGATGAAGAATGTTACTCACCTTCTGGCAGGTTGTGTTCCAATATGCAGAATTAGGCACAGACATGGCACATATGGGAATTTATTTTGCTTGACTATGTAACAATGATTTTGTTTTTGTTTTTCTGTTTTTCCAATGGGGGAGGGAGATGCAGGATGGAGAGAAAAAATGTTAATTAAAAATAATTAGAAAGACTGTTAGAGCTCTATCATAGATTAGAGCTGGAAGGGATTGTATAGATCATTTCATCCAACTTCTTCCTTTTACAGAAGAAACTGTCAGAGAGGTTAAGTTACTTGCCCAAAGTCACACAACTAGTCAGGGAAAGAGCCATATTAGTACTTAGCACACTGACTGGCATATAATATGTGCTTAATAAATGCTATTTGACTGATTAAACCTCCCCCCCTCCACACACACATACTTCATCTGCACTTTGAGCGTGGTGTAGTGGAAAGAGCATTGATTGACCTTGGAGTCAAAGGACCTGAATTCAAATTCCAGGTCTGCTACTTACTACTTGCAGCTAAGACTTAGCATGTCTGGGCCTCAGTTTCCTTATTAATAAAACAAAAGAGTTGGACTAGATTACCTCAAAGATTTCAGATCTATTATCCTGGGCCTTCAATGTCCTGCTGAATAAAGTCTAAACTCCTTAGTTTGACATTCAAGGATGTCTATTGTTTGTCTCCCTTCTTCCTTTCTATTATTATCTCATACTACCCCCTTCATTCACTTATGATTCAGCCAAATGAGATAATATACACCTCACACTCCCATTTCTTTGTTTACAGTATGCCTTTTGAATTGCCAAGCATTCAAACTCTGCTGTAGAGAGTGCAACTCCTCTGGGCTCACCACATTGTTTGAATGCTAAAAATACTTTTGCCTGAAAAACTATTTTACAAAGAACCCACACAAGACAAGTGCTCACATGGAGGTCAGAAGAAGTGGTACAAGGACACTCTCATGGTATCTCTGAAGAACTTTGAAATTGATTGTGAGACATGGGAGACACTAGCGCAAGACAGACCAGAACAGTGTGCCCTCATCAAAGAAGACTCTATCCTCCATGAGCAAAGCAGAATTGCAATAGCTCAAAGGAAACATGAGACGTGCAGGAGACACCTCCACTCCAAATGTTCATGTGGACTATGTGTGCCTGACCTGTGGTAGAGCCCATAGAGCTCATATTGGTCTGATCAGTCACAGCCGGACACACTGTACTTTGACTCCAACATGGTGATGTCATTTTGGTCTTCCTCAAGAATGAAGGACAACAACCAAATAACCAAAAACCAACCTAGTATGCCTTGTGGCAGCCACCACCTTGGTGCAGGCCTCATCATCTTATTCCTGGACTCTTGCTATAGCTTGCTGGTTGATCTCCTTGCCTCATCTCCCCCCACTCCAGTCCATCCTCCACTCATTTGACAAACTGATCTTTCTAAAGCACAGGTCTGACCATGTTGCCCTCCTATTTAGCAAACCCTAGTGACTGTCACAACCTACAGGATCAAATATATAATCCTCTATTGGCTTTTAATGCCCTTCATAACCTGCCCCCTTCCTACAATTCCAGTCTTTATATCACTTACATGCCTCCCCTACCCCACTACCACCACCATGGTATTCTAAGATTCAGAGACAATGGCCTTCCTGCTATTCCTCACACATGACAATCCATGTTTAGACCCTGAGTATTTTCACTGGCTCTCCACTAGCCTGGAGCTCACTCCCTCCTCCTGGCTTCCCTGGCATCCTCAGGTTTCAACAAATGTCCTGCCTTCTGAAATAAACCTTTCTCAGTCCTCCTTAATCTTAGTATCTTCCTTCTAAGTTATCTCCAACTTACTCTATTTATATCTTACTTGTATGTAATGGTTTGCATCTCTTATCCCCTTTATACTATGAACTCCTTGAAGACAGGGACTGTCTTTTGCCCTCACAGTACCTGACAAATAGTAGGCACTTAGTAAATTCTTGTTGACTTGACTTGACAAATAGAATTCCACCAGCTCACTCCATCAGTCTGTTTGGTGAAATTCAGTTGATTCAATTTGATTCAAGTCAATTCAACTGAACAACCTTTTATTAAGTGCCTGTTGTATGACTTCCTGGCACTGTGTGAAACATTTAGACATGTGAAATTCAGGGGCTAAACTACACCTATGAGGGCATGCGAAGAGCTGTCCAGCATCTGATCTAAATATCTCACAATCTTTTTTGAAAGGAGAAACATTGAACCAAATGAAAAATCACAGCAATCATATTTGCTAAGCCAGGAAACTGAAGTTTATTAGCTCACGAACAGTAGAATTTTGTTCATGTATCACCCCAAAGCAATAAGATAGCATTAGATAGGGACAGATCTCCTCACCTCCCATGAGTGTGGAAGGATGGATAGGTTAGTGGAGTGGAGTGAAGAAGTTGGACAGCTTCATGGAAACATGAAGGAATTGAAAGCTAATTCTTCTTAAATCCTTCCACAGGGAGCATTGAATTGGCAGAGGATAATGTTGGAAGCCAGGGAATACTTCCGGGTTTGGACAGCCTGGTCACTGGAGGGAGGAGTCTTAGATTAGCAGCGTGGCTCGCACACTCGCTCCCCCTCGAAGCAAGGCTCGGTGTAGGTGGTCAGGTTGATTCCAAACAGGCCAGGTCTGGGTTGGGAGGAGTTCAGCAGCCAGCAAGAAGGCACATAGGGATCAGGCGTGCAGCAAGGAGGAGGGCAGCAGTCACAGCAGATGGGCTGGAGAAGGCTGATCTCATGGGGGCAGGTGCTGGGCAGGCAGACTCCGCACCGGCAGCATTTATCGGAAGAGCAAATGGTGGTGGCTGGACCGGTGGGGACGCTGCAGCAGTCCTGTCGGTAAGCTCCACAGCAAGACATGATGTGAGTAGCTTTAGTTTGTCTTTCTAGTAAATGCGGGAAGAGGAGGATTTTTCAAATGTGATGGCTTACTGTCTCTCTGCCACCCTTATATATACTCAGCCCAGTAGGCGTTGGCTCATGATAGTTTATGTCAATTTCCATTGAAAACAACACCTCATTACTTAGATGCTTATTTCATAGGAAGTGCTCCTCACCTCATGAAAAGGTGATTGGCTTGTTTGGCTGCCAGATTAGGATTCTTTCCAATAGCTCTTTGTCACTACAAAGAGGAACTCATTTTCGTGTTCAAAGGCAAAAGTCATTATCTTCTAATCATCATCCATCATTAAAGATGACTTGTTATGTGTGGCACCTTGCAGCCTTCATCATGTCTACTGATTTACTGTTCCATCAGCTGCCAACATATTCTGTGTAGCTTTTTTTTTTCCTTTTTAGTTAAATAAATGGTAGAATTTTAGAATGAGTTATTTGTGAGGTGGAAAAGGGTTATTTGGTCTTTGGAGAAGTGAGTAATTTGGTTTGTAGAATTATGGGAATGGGCTTGAAAGAGAAGGGCTAAAGTAAACAATCTATATCTTAGAAAGATGTCATTGAAATACTATTTTAAAAAGCAGAGAACAGAAAGAAGTAAAGACAAGGAAAACAGTTTTGGAAGCTATTGGTTGAACTTGTATACTTAAGAAGAAAAGAAAGTTGCACATAATAGAGATCTGAATTTTCATGTGCTGTTTCCCTTTCCTGTTCCACTATGGGTATGGAAATGACCATTTTATTTAGTGTTTGCTAAGTTCAGAATAAAAATAAGATTTAAAAATAGTGAAAAATAATTAAAAACAAAACAAAAAACTCACCAAATTTTCTGGAAGTGTTAGTGGGGGTGGAGGCAATCTATATCAGTAACTATAAGTAATCTATACTGGTAACTGTAAGCAAGTTGTAATCTATACCAGTAATTAATAATAAGTAATAAACAAGTTGCAAACTGGGTAGTATCTTCCAGGATCTCACATCAGGGATCTAGATTTTGGAAGTATAACTTTGTCTCATAGGGGGAACTGAGTTTCCCAGATCTTCCCCCCCCCATTAAAGAGTTAATTAGAAGGTCATTTACTTGCATGAACGTATAAAAGACAGGAAGTTTATAAATGTGATGTTTGCTGAATATTTTTTAAAAAGAGGAAAGAGCTTGAGAAATCATTGAAAAATAGAACATCCTTTCTATTTGAGGAGTCTCTATTTTGAGAGTGTTTTAAAAAAGGATGTGTACTATTTCCTTTTTATAGAATACAGGCACATACATATGAGTTCACTTGTGCATGTGCGTACTCACATGCTTGGGCATACTTGTGCATGCGTGTGCTAGCACACACACACACACATACACACACACACAATTCCCTAGTCGGGAAAGGGGACTGAGGCTAAGCATATATCAATGGATAAACTGGCAGAAGCAGGAAATGTAGTCATTAGACTTAATGCTCAGTAGAATGTGAGCTCTTTGAGGATAGGCACTGTTTCATTGTGTCTTTGTATCCCCTTGGTATAATAGAAAGCTATCATATACCAGGTTCTTAATAAATATTTGTTGAGTTGAACTCAGGTGATGGTGGCTGGTTTGTCAATTCACCTGCTAATACATTTGTGGCATTATGTGACCATGTGGAGATTTGTTCTATTTTTCTGCATCCCCAAAATGGACATGGGTTCCCTGAGTATCAAGTTTCTACAGGAGCTTTCATTCAGTCATTTGATTCTTCAAGGACTGCTCTCCTTTCTCATAGAATCTTATCACAGAATCACAGTTAAGGATTGGAAAAGATCTCAGAGACCATCTAGTTCAGTTTTCTCACTTTACAAATGGGGATACTGGAACCCAGTGATTTGCCCAGGGTCTATCAGGTAGGAAGTATCAGAGTCAGAATTTGAAACAGATCTCCTTTGAACCCAGTGTTATTTTCACTATGATGTGTCATGATCCCTATCAATCATTCAGTCAATCAATAAGAAATTATTGAACACCTTCTGTATGGCAGGTACTATGCTAGATATTGAGGATACAAAGACCAAATGAAACAGTCCCTGTCCTCAAGGAGCTCACGTTCTGTCAGGAGAAACAATATGTAAATAGATGTTTTTGTTGTTTGGTCATTTGGTCATGTCCAACTCTTTGTGTCTCTGTATGGGTTTTTCTTAGCAAAAATACTAGAGCACTTTTCTAGTGGATTAAGGCAAACAGAGGTTAAGTGCCTTGCCCAGGCAAGATGCTAGTGAGCATCTAAGGTTGGATTTGAATTCAGGTCTTCTTGCCTGCAGGCCCAGCATTCTATCCACTGAGCCATCTAGCTGCTTCCATGTAGACATATCTATCTATCCATCTATCTGTCTGTCTGTCTGTCTGTCTGTCTATCTATCTATCTATCTATCTATCTGTCTATCTATCCATCTCTCTACACGTGCAAAATAAAGGTAATTTGTGGGGTGGGAGGATGCAGCTAAGAATATTGAGAAAGACCTTCCCTCTTTTGGGAGACTTACATGAGCTAATGCAGAATGTGCAAACTATTTAGAAAAATTTGAAAAACTATATAAACATTGGTTCTTATCACCACCATTATTATTTTTTCAGTTTCTTGATTGGCTGCAATAGTTCCCTATGAAATGACACTTCTGTGCTGAATATGTGATAATCTTAACCTTTCTTCCAAGAAAAATCTCCCCCCTACCTAACAATCAAACTTTAAATTGTTTTAAGTATTAGAAGGTGTATTTCGCAAAATAAAAACTGATGCCATTTAAGGTCAAGCTCTTATAGATGTTATGAAGTTATGTGCAGTGAGAGCAAGAAATCATTAGTCATCTTTTTTTTAAGAGGGCCTCTTGATGCTTTACTAACCCTCCTTCCACATCAGAACTGGTGAGATCTCTCATGCAAAGGCTCATGGATTTACCTGAGAGCACCTGTGAGTCAGGTAGAGACAGTATTCAAAGCCATCTACCCTTTGCTGTCATTCCTTGCTCTTAAGCCTGAGACATCATTCCATCTGTCCCCAGAAGCAGGATGTAGGATACCTTCCTGTTTGTCACTCTAATAAAAATGTCAGTAAGTAAAAACCATTGGGTTTTATTCCATGAGTTGAGGGGTTTGTGTTTGTTCTGTTTTAAATTTTCAGTGAAGTTCTTAACAAAACGGGCTCCGGGAAATTTTTGTGATACTGGTGTTGTGACTGTGTGATCTAGGGCAAGTTGCTTAACCTCTCTGGTTCTGACAAATGAGGATGTAGGACTAAAAAGAACCTAATTGTGTGATCTTGTCATCAATTAGTATTAGATTACTCAAAGATTTTTTGTTGGTTTCATTTTAAAATATAAACTGTTCTTTTTCCTTCTCTTTCTTTCTTTCTTTCTTTCTTTTCTTTCTTTCTTTCTTTCTTTCTTTCTTTCTTTCTTTCTTTCTTTCTTTCTTTTTCTTTCTTTCTTTCTTCTTCTTCTTCTTCTTCTTCTTCTTCTTCTTCCTCCTCCTCCTCCTCCTCCTTCCTCTTCCTCTTCCTCACATCAGAAACTTAGACCAGTGGCGTAATAGGTAGAGTGGAATAACCTTTTTTGACTTGCAAACTTGCCCTGAAAGTAACTCTCAAACTAGGAGTTTCTCTGACCCAATTTGGGTTGTGCAGTCATGTAAGGATAGTTGGTGTAAGGCAAAAGATGTATAGATGTGTTTGAATGGATGTAGAAATTTTATTCACATACATGTTTCTTATGTGATACGTGGAGTGTAGAATTTTGACGCAAGAATACTTCAGATATCTCATGACGTTCCTCTTCATGACTAGCTGATGGATGGGCAGTTGTTCAGATATGGCCCATAACTAAGAACAGAAATTAATGACTCCCATAGATGATCCTTGTAAAGATGATGACACTGGCTCTTTAAAAATGGAGTTAAACATTTATAAACAAACAACTCAACATATTTCTCCCTTCTAGGCATGTTCCATTTTGCCTGTGATCTCCTTTGCTGTTTCTCAACCTTTTGCACTCCCCAATAAGCATTTTTATAAGCTGGCCAATAAACTACAGCTCTGTCAAACTAATCCTGGTTCTCATTGACATAGATGCAACATGGTATTTTTATTGAAGATTTTGTAAAGGTTCATTTCAAAACAGATATGTGAGTGGGAAATACTTAAAATGTCCATCTAAGAAGGATAACACTGTTGTGTTTATTTAAGGGCCAGTGATCATCCAAAGATCAAATTAATGAGTACAACTATCTAAAGCATTAAAAATCATTACCTTGAAAGCTAATATTTATACTTAAGAACATTTAACTTTTAGTCTTCCTAAGGATTGTGAAATAAAACTACTGAAAGAAATGAGTGTTTTAATTGGCCCAGTGCTTGACGTATAAATGTCAGTTTCTTAAGTGCTTAATAAATGTTTTTTCATTCATTTAATTCCATCCCATCACCAGGCTCCTTCTCTAAACAACCACTCCAATTTGAAACTAAAAAAGAAGATAAAGGTGAGATTTGGACGATGATGTCAATTTTAAAAAATAATGAAAGTTTATTGGCTCATGTTTCCAGTTTTAAACAGCTCACTGCTTTCTTTCATCAAATGTGATTATAGTGAGAAAATGTTTGTCAAATATCACAGTATCACACATCAGAAGGACAATGATCTCCAATTTTTTCTGTCACTTCGGTTTTGCTTCCTTATCTTGAATATAAGAAAGACACTATAGTACAGAGCAGGGTTTCTTACACTTCTTCCACTTGCAACTCCTCAGTGCTTCATAAACTGTTCTTTAAGACCCCATATGGGGTTGTGACCCACAGTTTAAGAAGCCCTGGATAGGGTGTGTGGCATGGACCAGCGGGTGTTATGAAGCCAACTTCTGAAAGACAGCTCATTGTTAAATTTTACATGTGGGCATTTACACTTAGGAAATCAGCAAATGTTACAGATTGAGCCTTGATTTTTATGTTGTTGATTGTCTGTCTTAAAAAAGATAGAGGAAATGTAAATTTCCTCTATGGTAGG